TTTTTTGTTCCTGATATTTCTACGATTAAAACTAAACATACAATACGTTCCGCTTAATTAGAAACCTAGAGACGTTTGTTTAGCTTAGCACTATCTGTGGCTTTCAACATTCCCGGAAGGAGTGATCGAGCGCGGATGGTCAGAAGGAATATCGTTCGATATGCTGTTCAAGCACAATTACTCGTGTTCAGGTGGAAAAGCCAAATCTTTTGATATCAGCTATTTTCTTTCAGAGATGTCTCTACACAAGTTCGAAAGCGTTTCCCCACTTTGGAGTCAACCGTCACCGCACGTATCACAAAGTACTTTTCAAGCACATGCCTTTTTAGATTTCTTTTCTGAAGACGAACTGGCAACTTATCTGAGCTTTGATCACTCATACACTTTGGCTCGATGGTGGTTGCCCGTGGCGTGGGCACAAAACGCTGTTCATACAGCCAAAGTCAATGCAATGATACAATCCGACGCGTCAAGCAAAGTCTTGCTTTTGTCCCACTTTTTCAAGGGGACTTCCAAAAATTCGTTGTTACTCATAATTGTTCGTCTGCACGGAAATCTTTAGTAAAAGGCGAAAGATTTTCTCGGTCAAATGCAGACGAACCAGAGATAAAACTGAGAGAAAAGGGATCGGTATGGGTAGAGGCCCTTTGCCAGAAAGCGAGCGATTACGGCCATGCACAAAGAACATATGTGAGGGTATTTTCATGAAGGCAAGAAACATTTTGCTACCCCATCCACATGCCGTTCTTACAGCTATATTGAAAATTGGCATGATTTCTTAATCTTAACCAGAAAAAGAATCTTATGGATGGGCTTTGCTCTCTTAACTCGATTATTCTGAAAGCAGCTCCTGAATGCACATCGGAGAAAAAAAAATAAAGTATGTCTTTTAAAGTAAAAGGAAGGGAAACAAATATTTTGTTTTTGAAATAAGGAAAACCAAAATAAAATAAAATTGAAAATTTGCTAAAGAAGAGCGATAAAAGTTGTTCGGGTTGAGCAATTTTTATCGAAATTGTATTGGCCGAAGTCTTTTTCTGCATTTTTGAACACTTGCAATTCTTGAAAGCAAATCACTTTTATTGGTACTTTTATGAGTAGACAACTTTAGACCCGTGTGGAGAAATTGAAAGACAAGAATTGAGGTGTTAAGCAAAAAACATCAGTACATAATAATATTTGGATCAAAGGTTCGAAATTTTCGCATTTTGTCGAGCTTTTCTCTGTTGCTGATGAGAGAAAAAGATGAATGTTGGCGGGAAATATAAAGCAGCCAATGCAGCCAACATCATGTAGAATGAGGTGCCAAGTCTAAAGTTGAGTGAATCAAAAATATTCAGAAATTGATTAGCGCATAGCATTGATTAATAAAGCCATGCGATTGAGTCTAATTTGTTTTTCTTTCTTAAATTTTGTTTTTTCCAACCTTGCTTGATCTTGTGTACTTAAACCAGCATCCAAATGTGTCTGCAGCAAAACATTGTTTTTGATTGTGGCCATGAATTGGATGTAGTAGATCAACACACAAGCGCTGAAGCTGATCACTGAAACGGATTAGATTGTCTATCTATGCCTATCTATCTCTAGACTTTCGATTTAGTTGACAATAGTTGTTGAATAGAAAAGCTTACAAGCTAATAAGCTCCATAGATAAATGCCGATTGGCCCAGCGACGGATTGCCTCTTTCGTGAAATTGCTGCAAACAACGCAACAAAACTGCCAACGCCCACCCACAAAAGCCCGAGAGCTGCAAAGGCAGCAAATAGGGTTTTAAAGGATTGAATTTAAAGTTGCATTCACAAATTTATAGCCTTTTTATAGATTACCTGCAAAGAAAACACAAAAACACCACACAGGTCTTGCCATGAAAGAATACCCAGCTCGAACCTCGGTAACAACTAAATTTTGTTAGATTTGATACAAAGTCTTATGTTACCGCTAAAATTATATTTCCTTGCTCCATTTTCATATTCGAGCACTCTTTCTCCCCAAAATAATCCTGCATTCACATGTGCTCCCGCTGCGATTCCACCAGTTTTTGTTAAAATCGCTGAATCGAACCAATGTGAAGTAAAGAGGGCAACCGTCGCCAAGGAAGCACTGAAACACTATTTTGCGAATAATTTAAAATAGTCGAGAGATGGCAACCATTTGTTGGCTAGCTTTTGTCGTTTTATTTTGTTACCCCCCTTGCGAGGGGTGTGCGCCGATCCCGCCGGTAAGTGCAATAGCGGGCCGACGCTGTATGGCGAGCAGCAAGCTACTACAAACCATACCCGTCCCAAAAATTGATTAATCTCGATGAGTTCAATAGAACTCGTACCGGAGATTAAGCCGATAAGAACAGATACTACACATTGATCTTAGCCAGAGGCCAGAAGCGATACGGAACGACGGAATTGGAGGCATTTCTGCAGGGGACATGCGCCAGAAAGAGGGCGAGTAGGGGGCGAAAGGGAGGACGCACAAAAGGGGCTGCGAGCGGTGAAAAGGGGTCGGAAAAGAGGGGGGGAAAGAAAGGGGGGAAAAGGAGGGCGGGAAAAGGGTAACCCACTAGTTTGTTCCTCCAAAGAAGGGAAAAGAATGACTCAACTCAAGAAGAACGTTAGATTGATATATAGTTAAAGAGTTAAAACACTTTTTTTCAAGAATTTGCGGAAAACTTTTTTTTTTAAACAGACCGATCGAATTGATCGAAATGCTCGAAAAAGGGAGAAAAATGGATGTTTATCCACTAAAATCTCTGCAAACAGAACATTTAAAAGCACAAAAAATGGACTTTTGATTTATATTGTAACCCTGTAACTCTGTACTCTGTATTGTATTACTATTGTAAATTCCGTAAATCCTCTAATAGAGTAAATCCGCACCCCTAACCTTAATTTGACCCCGGCACCCCTAACTAAAAGTTAAGTTTTTCCCAAAACCTTTTTGTAAAAAGTGCTTAAATGGATGTAAACTATCACTAGGTATAACCTACAAGTGATGGTAGTAAAATTTAAATTAATTCGAAGAAAAAATTTGAAAAAAATTTTTGCCAAAAAATGATAAGGATTTCCCACATGGATTTTCAAAGATTAATTCTCCAATGGTCAGACCAGAGGAAAAAGATTTTGTTTTAAATGTGTTTTTTTGTATTTTTAAACCAAAAGGAAACGAGTTAGAGTAATTCCATCAAAAATAATTTTTTTCAACAATGTGATATCCCCTTATGTGATTTTTTTGGGGATCCGAAAAATGGGCGCCGAACAATCGAGGATTTACGGTTATTGACTTTAAATTGTTTTACAATAATATTCCGGATTTGTATGTACTTTTATGCAAGTTTTAAAAATTCGGATAAAGTTATTTCTGCTCTTCGTGGGTTTAGGCGTTGGGGCGATTAGTGGGTGAAAGGGAGAACGCACAAAGAGACAGTGGGTGGAAAGAGTGGTCATGTGAAGGTGTTCTTAGTGCGCGCCCGTAATCGCTCGCTTTCTGGCAAAGGGTCTCTACCTATACCGATCTCTTTCTCCCCTTTCCTCTCTGGCTCGTCTGCATTTGACCGAGAAAATCTTTCGCCTTTTACTAAAGATTTCCGTGCAGACGAACAATTATGAGTATCAACGAATTTTTGGAAGTCCCCTTGAAAAAGTGGGACAAAATGAATTACAGTGCCAATATTTGTTGCGCAAGGCTAGAACAAGTAAAAATTTAGCAAGTAGAAGATACCCCAGCCGCCTGGATTCTTGATTTTTGGCGGAACAAGCACGATCCTTTATGACATGTGTTCTTTGTGCGGCAGCGTAATCGCTCACTTTCTGGCAAAGGCCCTCCACTTATAGTGCTCCCTTTCCTCCCCTTTCCCATCTCTGGTTCGTCTGCATTTGACCGAGAAAATCTTTCGCCTTTTACTAAAGATTTCCGTGCAGACGAACAATTATGAGTATTAACGAATTTTTGGAAGTCCCCTTGAAAAAGCGGGACAAAACAAGGACAACGGCCAAGACTCCACAAAGCATCAAGTGAATAACAGTTGAGTGAAACCCACCTAATGCAAAAAGCGATCAACGCAGCAAAGGTGCCAACTCGTTCACACGTGTATCCCATTTAGAAAAATATTAAAATCGTCATCAAGAAATCGAAGGAGTCAAGTATCTGTTTGACAGAAAGTGTATAAAAGTGTTTCTTGAAGAAATAGTTGAAGGAGATGCCAAGTGTTTCCGTTGCCTCAATGTGGTGAGGGGCTAGTTTCACAGGCATTGAAAAAGAGAAAAAGAGGTTCATGCGGAAAAAGCTTTTGGTCTTTTTAAGGAAGGGATACCCGCGGATCCGTGAAGGAGAAAAAGACGAGAATGGATGGGAAAAAAGAAGTGATCATATTACACGCAAATACGAATAGTTCTTCTTCGGGTGGTCAGTAGGGGATCAAAAAGGGAACTATAATGAACAGAGAAATGAATGAGGGGAATTTTTAAAGTAAAATTGATAAACTCAAGTTTTCTAATAGTTTTTTTCGAAAGCTGTTTGAGAGCCAGTCCTTAATTTGATTCGATGCATTTCAGGTGTTTTCCCCTTTTAGTCAATTTTAGGTCAAATTACCCTTTCACTGGTTTTCCGATAATATTTCGAAAAGTGAAATGGAAATTTTAGACTTTATCTTCATTCACACCAAACAGCAATCGTCCTCGGCAACACATTTCTCGTCGGATTGGCTGACTCTCACGTATCCTTCATTGCTTAATAGTTATGATAGAATAGGAGAATGCACATCTGAAACCGACCTTTGCTTAATTTATCATTGTCTCTTGAACAAAGTAGAGCAACTTAAAATTACTAGCAATAAGTCAGCAAGTCTACACATTGATCTTAGCCAGAGACCGGCAGTTACACATTGATCTCAGCCAGAGACAAGAAGCTACAAATTGAGCTCAGCCAGAGCCCGGCAGTTTCACATTGATCTTAGCCAGAGACAAGAAGCTACAGATTGAGCTCAGCCAGAGCCCGGCAGTTTCACATTGATCTTAGCCAGAGACAAGAAGCTACAGATTGAGCTCAGCCAGAGCCCGGCAGTTACACATTGATCTTAGCCAGAGACCGGCAGTTACACATTGATGTTAGCCAGAGACCAGCAGTTACACATTGATCTTAGCCAGAGACAAGAAGCTACAGATTGAGCTCAGCCAGAGCCCGGCAGTTACACATTGATCTTAGCCAGAGACCGGCAGTTACACATTGATGTTAGCCAGAGACCAGCAGTTACACATTGATCTTAGCCAGAGACAAGAAGCTACAGATTGAGCTCAGCCAGAGCCCGGCAGTTACACATTGATCTTAGCCAGAGACCGGCAGTTACACATTGATGTTAGCCAGAGACCAGCAGTTACACATTGATCTTAGCCAGAGACAAGAAGCTACAGATTGAGCTCAGCCAGAGCCCGGCAGTTACACATTGATCTTAGCCAGAGCCCGGCAGTTACACATTGATCTTAGCCGGAGCCCGGCAGTTACACATTGATGTTAGCCAGAGAGCGGCAGTTACACATTGATCTTAGCCAGAGCCCGGCAGTTACACATTGATGTTAGCCAGAGACCGGCAGTTACACATTGATCTTACCGTTACACATTGATCAGTTACACATTGATCTTAGCCAGAGCCCGGCAGTTACACATTGATGTTAGCCAGAGACCGGCAGTTACACATTGATCTTACCGTTACACATTGATCAGTTACACATTGATCTTAGCCAGATACCGGCAGTTACACATTGATCTTAGCCAGAGCCCGGCAGTTACACATTGATCTTAGCCAGAGCCCGGCAGTTACACATTGATGTTAGCCAGAGACCGGCAGTTACACATTGATCTTAGCCAGAGACAAGAAGCTACAGATTGAGCTCAGCCAGAGCCCGGCAGTTACACATTGATCTTAGCCAGAGACAAGAAGCTACAGATTGAGCTCAGCCAGAGCCCGGCAGTTACACATTGATCTTACCGTTACACATTGATCAGTTACACATTGATCTTAGCCAGAGCCCGGCAGTTACACTTTGATCTTAGCCAGAGACAAGAAGCTACAGATTGAACTCAGCCAGAGCCCGGCAGTTACACATTGATCTTAGCCAGAGACAAGAAGCTACAGATTGAGCTCAGCCAGAGCCCGGCAGTGGCACATTGATCTTAGCCAGAGACAAGAAGCTACAGATTGAGCTCAGCCAGAGCCCGGCAGTGGCACATTGATCTTAGCCAGAGACAAGAAGCTACAGATTGAGCTCAGCCAGAGCCCGGCAGTGGCACATTGATCGGCAGTGGCACATTGATCTTAGCCAGAGCCCGGCAGTTACACATTGATCTTACCGTTACACATTGATCAGTTACACATTGATCTTAGCCAGAGCCCGGCAGTGGCACATTGATCTTAGCCAGAGACAAAAAGCTACAGATTGAGCTCAGCCAGAGCCCGGCAGTTACACATTGATCTTAGCCAGATACCGGCAGTTACACTTTGATCTTAGCCAGAGACAAGAAGCTACAGATTGAGCTCAGCCAGAGCCCGGCAGTGGCACATTGATCTTAGCCAGAGCCCGGCAGTTACACATTGATCTTAGCCAGAGAAAAGAAGCTACAGATTGAGCTCAGCCAGAGCCCGGCAGTTACACATTGATCTTAGCCAGAGCCCGGCAGTTACACATTGATCTTAGCCAGACCCGGCAGTTACACATTGATCTTAGCCAGAGACAAGAAGCTACAGATTGAGCTCAGCCAGAGCCCGGCAGTTACACATTGATCTTAGCCAGAGCCCGGCAGTTACACATTGATGTTAGCCAGAGACCGGCAGTTACACATTGATCTTAGCCAGAGACAAGAAGCTACAGATTGAGCTCAGCCAGAGCCCGGCAGTTACACATTGATCTTAGCCAGAGACAAGAAGCTACAGATTGAGCTCAGCCAGAGCCCGGCAGTTACACATTGATCTTACCGTTACACATTGATCAGTTACACATTGATCTTAGCCAGAGCCCGGCAGTTACACTTTGATCTTAGCCAGAGACAAGAAGCTACAGATTGAACTCAGCCAGAGCCCGGCAGTTACACATTGATCTTAGCCAGAGACAAGAAGCTACAGATTGAGCTCAGCCAGAGCCCGGCAGTTACACATTGATCTTAGCCAGAGCCCGGCAGTTACACTTTGATCTTAGCCAGAGACAAGAAGCTACAGATTGAACTCAGGCAGAGCCCGGCAGTTACACATTGATCTTAGCCAGAGACAAGAAGCTACAGATTGAGCTCAGCCAGAGCCCGGCAGTTACACATTGATCTTACCGTTACACATTGATCAGTTACACATTGATCTTAGCCAGAGCCCGGCAGTTACACTTTGATCTTAGCCAGAGACAAGAAGCTACAGATTGAACTCAGCCAGAGCCCGGCAGTTACACATTGATGTTAGCCAGAGACCGGCAGTTACACATTGATCTTAGCCAGAGACAAGAAGCTACAGATTGAGCTCAGCCAGAGCCCGGCAGTGGCACATTGATCTTAGCCAGAGCCCGGCAGTTACACATTGATCTTACCGTTACACATTGATCAGTTACACATTGATCTTAGCCAGAGCCCGGCAGTTACACATTGATCTTAGCCAGAGCCGGGCAGTTACACATTGATCTTAGCCAGAGACAAGAAGCTACAGATTGAACTCAGCCAGAGCCCGGCAGTTACACATTGATCTTAGCCAGAGAAAAGAAGCTACAGATTGAGCTCAGCCAGAGCCCGGCAGTTACACATTGATCTTAGCCAGAGCCCGGCAGTTACACATTGATCTTACCGTTACACATTGATCAGTTACACATTGATCTTAGCCAGAGCCCGGCAGTTACACATTGATCTTAGCCAGAGCCCGGCAGTTACACATTGATCTTAGCCAGAGACCGGCAGTTACACATTGATGTTAGCCAGAGACCAGCAGTTACACATTGATCTTAGCCAGAGACAAGAAGCTACAGATTGAGCTCAGCCAGAGCCCGGCAGTTTCACATTGATCTTAGCCAGAGACAAGAAGCTACAGATTGAGCTCAGCCAGAGCCCGGCAGTTACACATTGATCTTAGCCAGAGCCCGGCAGTTACACATTGATCTTAGCCAGAGACCGGCAGTTACACATTGATGTTAGCCAGAGACCAGCAGTTACACATTGATCTTAGCCAGAGACAAGAAGCTACAGATTGAGCTCAGCCAGAGCCCGGCAGTTACACATTGATCTTAGCCAGAGCCCGGCAGTTACACATTGATCTTAGCCGGAGCCCGGCAGTTACACATTGATGTTAGCCAGAGAGCGGCAGTTACACATTGATCTTAGCCAGAGCCCGGCAGTTACACATTGATGTTAGCCAGAGACCGGCAGTTACACATTGATCTTACCGTTACACATTGATCAGTTACACATTGATCTTAGCCAGAGCCCGGCAGTTACACATTGATGTTAGCCAGAGACCGGCAGTTACACATTGATCTTACCGTTACACATTGATCAGTTACACATTGATCTTAGCCAGAGCCCGGCAGTTACACATTGATGTTAGCCAGAGACCGGCAGTTACACATTGATCTTACCGTTACACATTGATCAGTTACACATTGATCTTAGCCAGATACCGGCAGTTACACATTGATCTTAGCCAGAGACAAGAAGCTACAGATTGAACTCAGCCAGAGCCCGGCAGTTACACATGGATCTTAGCCAGAGAAAAGAAGCTACAGATTGAGCTCAGCCAGAGCCCGGCAGTTACACATTGATCTTAGCCAGAGCCCGGCAGTTACACATTGATCTTACCGTTACACATTGATCAGTTACACATTGATGTTAGCCAGAGCCCGGCAGTTACACATTGATGTTAGCCAGAGACCGGCAGTTACACATTGATCTCAGCCAGAGACAAGAAGCTACAGATTGAGCTCAGCCAGAGCCCGGCAGTTACACATTGATCTTAGCCACAGACAAGAAGCTACAGATTGAGCTCAGCCAGAGCCCGGCAGTTACACATTGATCTTAGCCACAGACAAGAAGCTACAGATTGAGCTCAGCCAGAGCCCGGCAGTTACACATTGATCTTAGCCAGAGCCCGGCAGTTACACATTGATGTTAGCCAGAGAGCGGCAGTTACACATTGATCTTAGCCAGAGCCCGGCAGTTACACATTGATGTTAGCCAGAGACCGGCAGTTACACATTGATCTTACCGTTACACATTGATCAGTTACACATTGATCTCAGCCAGAACCCGGCAGTTACACACTGATCTTAGCCAGAGACAAGAAGCTACAGATTGAGCTCAGCCAGAGCCCGGCAGTTACACATTGATCTTAGCCACAGACAAGAAGCTACAGATTGAGCTCAGCCAGAGCCCGGCAGTTACACATTGATCTCAGCCAGAACCCGGCAGTTACACACTGATCTTAGCCAGAGACCAGAAGCTACACATTGATCTTAGACAGAGACCGGAAGTCATAAGAGTCATAAAAAAGTCTTTTATGAGTCATAAAAGAGCTTTTTGGAATCTGGTGATTGTTTGGGGAAATCTGGAAAAATTTAGCCATTTCATATACATTGACCCCATACTAGTTTGGAAAAGCCTAACCTTTCAAGAAAGTTGTCGTTAGTAGGCATCGAACCAAAAAAGGATTAATTTCAATATTTTCTTCGTATCACCAACACACAGCCTCTGAAGATTTTCAGGGGACGGACCTCGTTTTCCCTCAACGATTGTCTCTTTCAAATTCGCGCGGTAAACCCGGGACTGCTTGGTCCCACAATCTGCATCGACAGTTCAACTCTGAGTTGAACTTTTAGCCTTTGTCCGGTTTTTGTTAAATCAATCAGTAGATCTTGACACTGAAACGTTTGGTCATACAACTGATCTTTTCGACGCTCGCTGCAGCTATTTTGGCAAAGCAGAAGTTGAATCTGAGAATCGTTTAACAAAATATCAAAGCCAAAGATCTAAGGGGTAAGCTAGTTTGTCAAATTTTTGATAATCCTTGGTAAAAATCTCTGCTGTAGACAAAAAGCCTAACAGCATCCAAAGAAGGTTCTGCTTCTTACGTGTTTTGATAGAGTTCTGTTTTGTCTGCTTGTCCCTTGCTTTTATTTTGCTATTTTCGCTTCATGTTTAAATCGAGACGTTCTTCCGACTATTCTTAGAATCTTTTGTTTGAATTTCCATGTTTACACCAAAACAGACGTTACCGAAAATAGACAAGACAAGATTATTTTAGAGTTTTCAAAAGCTCTTCGAATAACATAACGTCATTTTCATGCTCAAATGGATTGGATTGGAAATTTCTAAAAACGAATTTTGTGTTCTTTCAATAGAAAAGATTCAAATTAAATAATTGGCTTGATTTAGAATTTCGGAAGTTGACACACTTTAGAAAATGAGATTTAGTAGAAAATGCTCTGCTAGTCATAATTAGTCATAGCGGAACTTGATCTTTTATGAGAAACACAATTTAGTTTAATATCCATATTAATGTCTCTCCAGTTTTTCCCGCCACAACGTAACAGTTAATTGTTTAATTAAGGGGGAAAAGTTGGAGGCTGCAAACCTAAGTAGAAAAGCTGAGAAAAGAGGAAAGATTGAGATCATAAGTAGAACGGATAAACTTTAAGGTTTTTGGGTTATGATAGTTTTCCAGGCTATTTTACAACCTCTATCTAATGATCAAAGAATTTTTGAAAAAGTTGATGTTGAAGGAATTAAAATGACCTATTTAGTTTCAGACGGGTCAATTTCATGTCTACTTCGCTTCTTTACCACTTGACAACTCACTATCTTGACTGGAATTGACCTTAGTAGCACCACCTGGCTTGAAATTGATTAAAAACTTAGGGGAGTGGGACAAATGCTACCTTTTTTTTGCGCACCCGGACATTTGCGCATCTTTTTTTCCGCACCTGGCCCATTAGCGCACCTTTTTTCGCGTTTTAAAAAAAGCTCTAAAAAGCTAATATTAACCAATTTCTATTCCAAAAGTTGTTTTTCTAGGTAATTTGAGGGTGTAAAATTCAAATTTTGACATAACAGAGCGTGTGGAATCAATCTGAAAGACAAAACGGGTAGGTCAAATTACAGAAAATTGTCGATTTATTTCTTTGTATAACTCCGTCCGTTCGCTTCCACAAGCTCTGATATGTCAAAATTTCGATTCTACGCCCTAGAATTATCTAGAAAAACAACTTTTGGAATAAAAATTGGTTAATATTAGCTTTTTAGAGTTTTTTTGAAAACGCGAAAAAAGGTGCGCTAATGGGCCAGGTGCGGAAAAAAAGGTGCGCAAATGGCCGGGTGCGCAAAAAAAGGTCGCATTTGTCCCACTCCCAAACTTAGCAGATGATTTTAAAAGTGAATTGGCTTGATAGAATGAGTCGATGAAACGGTGGACGTACCTAAGTAACCATAACATTTTCAAAAATTATTACAATTGGTTTTGAATTTTGCAAGTTTCTAAATGTCTCTGACATCCTGGCAACTTTTCGGTATATTCCCCATTCGTCCTTCTCAACCTCACGTGCCTTTTCTTTCAATTTTTCTCATTTTCACTTTGATGTTGTTTTATGAGAAGTAACTTTGCATTTTTTAGGAGATCGGCCGGTCTATCAATGATGTTGTCGCCACTTCGTGGATCTACTCGACATGATGGGATTGGCTTCAACACAGGATTGGTGGGTAGTTTGTTAATTTTCCTCATCCGGCGGTTTATGTAATAAAGAAACATTGCCATTGTCTTGACCAATTTGTAAAAAGTTCCGAATCTTTGTTCTTCTATTAGAATTTCTTGGTTTTCGGTTACGATTTCTGTTAGAATCAAAGTGTTCTTGGCTTCCTCTTCAACACTTTGAGAGAAATTTGGAATTTCGAACCGTTGAATTTCTTTTGGCCAAAATTTTTCATCACTTTGTAGGAATTGTGGGCCTTCCAACCATACGCTTTTATGTAGTTGCTCGGCGGTGATTCCTTTGGTGCCGTAGTCGGCTGGGTTTACCTTTCCAGGGACATGAAACAATTTGACTGAGATTTGCAATGCCTTTAGTTCTTGAACATGGGCAATTTTGTTTGTCCGGTTCTGAACAAATTTTCCTGCTTTATCCCTTTTTTTTTCTTGGGTGACCCATTTCGGTGCCACTTTTGAATCTCCCAAATGACAATCTCATCAATCTTTAATTTTATTTCTTTCAATAGTTATTGGATCTGCTTATGAGCACATTCTAGGGCTAACAATTCCATTTTTGGGATTGTGGGAATGACTTTCGTAGGGTTCAGCCGATTCTTTGCAAAGATTATCGATGACTCAAATCTTCCACCAGCTTTCGATTGCAGGTATGCGACAATTGCGAAGGCTTTTGCCGATGCATCAGCAGAGATCGCTATTCGTGTGTAATCTCTTTGTAGTGTTGTAAAGATGAACCTTGGGATCGTGATTCTTATTTCTTTACCGAACTTGTTTTCAATTTCTTCCCATTGCTCACTCTGTTTTTACGGTAGCTGCTGATCCCATTTTAAGTCTTTGATAGACCACAAACTTTGATAAAAACTTTTAGCCTCAACTAGCAATGGGGTAGCGATTCCCAATGGGTCATAATTCGTTGCCATAGCTTGGATTATTTTCCTTTTGGTTAACGGTCGTTCCGCCTTAATTTGGATGAGTTGCGATAAGGTATCTTTGTCGCTGTCTCAGGTCATTCCTAGCAGTTTTAGTGAGCTTTCCACGATGTGAGTAGAAAGGCACTGTATAGTCGATACTAAAAGATCTCTAAATACCTTTAATACCGCTTGCTTTCGCTGACTATCAGATTGCTGGTTACTAAGTGTTAGTAATTGTCAATTATTATTTTAAGGGACTGTCAATTAAGCAGGTCTCCCTCCCCAAGGAAATTCTTCATTATATTTTACCAATAGTTCTGGTTTTCCTTTAAGTTGCTTGATGAAGATATGCAAGTATTGTCGCAAGCTTGAAATTATCATCAATTTTAGGATTTTTCTCTATCCAAGGGAACTTGGATAGAGAATGAATTTTACATGAATTTTTCCATTAACGAGTTGGACCTCTTCTTTGAATTTTGTGACAACTTCTTGTTGCTCCTTTTCTGAAGCTGCGGCTTTAGGAGACTCAGTGATGCCCATACTTTCTAGGTCCCAAAAATTTTCCTTGGTTATGTTACCGGTAGCTGTGGAAATGTTCGTACTGTTCTTGACCTTCTTGTTTAAACATAAATCTAGCTTTCCACATTTAATTTTTCCTAGCTTTGTTTCAATTCGCACCAAACCGCTGTGATGAATTGTCCAAGGTTCTTGTTGAATAATGTTTCAACAAAAGTCTTGACCAATAATTATGTCAATTTTAACGTTTTTGATTTCAGGTTCGTCTCCGAGTGCGGTGTTGGCTTTGGGAAGCTCCGGCAACTCCATCACTTCGAGCTTAAAGGTGTCAGGTAATTGTTTGTTAAAAATTTTTGATTATCGTAATAAAATTTTGAATGTTTTCGTTTTAATTACGCTTAAAGCCCCAATGGCTGTTTTAATGTTTAAAACTTTGGCATTTATGCTCGACAATTTTAAATTTTCTGCTAAATCTTTTGATAAAACTTTCCGTTGAACCTGTATCGATTAAAACGTTTACCTTGTCTTTGTAATGTTTTTGGTTGTCTGGATTGACTGCAAACACTTGTAACATGCTTGTTACGTGAATCTTCTGGGAAAAGTTTTGGTACGAATTGTTGAAGCAAAGCAAATTTTCTGATTAATTGAAATTTTTGAAAAGTCGTTCCTGAAACTCATTCGATCAACAGATCGACACTTTTTATTTTTCGTTTCTTAAGCTTTTTCTTTTTTTGCTCCCCTTATCAACTGTGCTTTTGTGGTTAAAAAGGAACATTCACGAGCGAAGAATGCCTCAACGTATCGATTCTTTGTGATTTCCCTCTTTCCATTCTTCTTTCTTGATTTTGAAATCTTGCATAAGATTATTGACGAAGTCGAAGAATTCATTCTTGATTTTTCCACACTCAGCTATATATTACTTTCGTTTTTCAAAGCGTTCCAGAATCACTTGGTTTTAGATACAATGGCGGAGAACTCTTCTTCAGATCAAGAAAAAGATGATCCCTCCTTCACAGAGTTGCTCAATTTGCTTAAAGACGAGCCGGATTTCAGGTTTTAGAATTTGCAAAATGTTGAATTATTTTAATATTGCAAAATTTGACTCAATCAAATGACTTGTTAGATTATGCTTTAAATTTCAGAAGACTATGAGAGAGCTGATACAAGAAGTTGTAACTCAACGGAAGGCAGCTAGTCAAAGAGCGCTCAATTGGGCAAAGAAAGCGGACAAAACTGGTGCGGCGAATACCGGAAAGAAGAATGTTTTATCGCCTGTTCGTGGCACTGATGGAAGTGTTAAACCACAAAAGAATAGAAACCGGAAAACGAAGCTAAAGGCAAGGCACTACAAAGAAATGGCGAAGTGAGTTTTAATGTTTATAGCAAAGACATGACTTGTTCGAAGGGAGATTTTTCATCGAAGAAAACAAGCTTTTGCTACTACACTTGAGTCATTCATCTAGTCTACAATAATTTTCTCGAAATCTTTCCACCCACTATTTTACCTTATTTAATGATTCAATTTTTCAGCATCATGCTCAAATTTCCCGAGGAAGCCTTTGAGAAACGAAATGGCTTTGTCAAGCAACTTTACGTTTGTGCAAACATGCAATGGAAGTCCTACGAGAATTGGGAAAAAGTTGGTGTGCTCTAATTAAAGATGAACTCGGCTTTTTCTTAGGAAAAAAAATTTAAAAAGAAAAATGTTCATTTGATAAATAAATTTTTGGGAAATTTTAGAAAATCGAAGATTATCTCGATAATCATCGGAACGGAGACAAAACGGCAGTACTCACTAGTAAAAGAGAAAAACTGGAGATCACGAAGCTTAGAGAGCTAAAAGAAAGCTTGGATTTGAAATTTGAAGCCGTTAACTCCAAGATTGATGTTCTGCATGAAATGTTGACAAAGCTAAGTAAGCAGTGCATTGTTTCATATTTTAACATTATTGAGTTCGCAAGGGTTTTTTTTGACAATTTGAAAGATTTAGCTCTTGCCGTGAAAAATGATGTGAAAGAAGGCATCGAAAATCGAGATAAAGAGACAGACCAAAAGCCCGAGATTAAAAAGGAACCGTTGAGTTAGAGGTTAGTTGGTCTTTGAAGTGGAAAGCCTTCAATTCGATACTTTTCAGAAGTTACCACTTGTTTGCGGTCACCACGTATTTTTCTCTCATCTCATCTTGCTTTGCTAAAAAATCCACCTTATCAAAATTTTCTGTCTATGTTGCTTAGAAAATAAATTGTTTTTCTTTTTCAATTGCTTCAATTATCGTAGTGGAAAAACTTTTAAGAGTCTTAAAGAAAAGAAAAATTCATTAAACTGTGTCTTCACCAAAAAATTTCTTATTGTTGTCTTAATGCCATCTATTTCACACGAATACTTTATTCAAAGAAAACATGCACATTAATTTTTTAGCAAAACAAGATGAGATGAGAGAAAAATACGGTATGGGACACAATCCTTTAAAAACTCGGAGAACTCGCGTCCCGTTCACCCACTCTATGGATCAGCGGCTCAAATGGGGTTGGTTAATTGGGTAAAAGTTTCCAAATAAAATTTCAAACTAACCTAACAAGTTACAATGGATAATATCATTTCTCAGTCTTTCTATTGATCGACAAGAAAGCATTACAACAAAGGGAGAACCGGTGAAAATGGTACCACTTGAAGGAGGTGAACTTGAGGAAACCCCGGTGACAAGAAAGCCGACAAGGTTCGTCAAATTATCTTAGTCCTTTCACGAACTTTCTAGAATGGAACTTCCAAGGATCATGCTCGACAAGTTCAAGCAAAAAAGGTTTCTTTTTATTCTCATCATCTCTCAACGATAAATTTTAGACCCAGTTTCTCATCGTACACAAGGAATCGAGTGAATAGGTGCGTTGCGAACAATTTATTTTTGCAAAATAATCATATGGACAATTTTCAGTAATGGGAATTTGACCCCAAAAGATTTGCGCAGTTCAACACCAGATCTGAACATCTCACCGACGAGCTCTCCGTTCTTCACCCATGTTGGATTTATTGCAATAGGTAAACATTGCCAGAAGTGCATAGATTTATAATTTTGCAACTCTTGTAAATCTTTGTTCTTTATAAAGCATTTTAAGATGAAGAAACTAAAGAAAAACCTTCAAAGGATCATCCACAACTCCCCGGTTTTACTTCAATTGATGAGCTTTCAAAAGTTGGTTTGGGAAGTAGATTTTGTTAGTAACTTTTTCTAGATGCAAATCTGTGAAGCTTAACTGATAATTAAATCTAATAGAAAGTTTTAGCCAAAAATCGATTCAAAAATGCATCATCATCACCGAATAGGTGCCCTTGACGACATTGCGGAAGAAGAGTCACAAAAGAATGACCCAGAAAAACAGAGAAAGTGAAAAAAAGAATTCTATCTCGTTATACTAGCTGTTATAGCGCTATGAAATTGTCGGAAATAATTTTTTAAACAAAATGCACACAAAGTTTACTGGAAAAAGTCCCTTTTAGATAAAATTTTTATGTAGAAAATCGTCAAAAATAGCAGCGTGCCGGATAGGGGTCGACTTGTGCTCACTCAGGGACTTGTAAAATGAAAAATTGCCACTAGTCTTCTGCAAAATTGGTCTCAAATCTGAACGTTTCGCCTCGTGCTTGGCTCGCAAACTTTCTCCTTTTCTGATAAGCGCGAAAAGTCGAATTGTCGAAAATTCTTCCCAGCGGCCTCTCGCCCTTTGCCTGGTTTCCATCTTTTGCTCAAATTTTTCCAACAAAGAAGAGTGCAAAACGGAAAAAAAACAATCGATTGAGCAAACACTCACAGATAAGCGTTTTGCTTTCCTTTCTTGAGAAAAAAAATCACCATTTTGTCATTCCAAAACGCTCATTTATTAGCTTTACTATTCTTGCACTAGCAGTTATGGAAGACTTAGAAAGCTGGAAAAAGCTGGAAAATTTTTATGAACTTGCAACTGGAATTTGCTGGAACGACGACGTTCTTCGTGACAACTTTTCAAAGCGTCACAACCTTTTTGCTCCATCTTACTTTGTCAAGCTCAAAAGTAGTAAAACATCTAAAAAATTTCAAGAATTTATTTCAAGCTTTAACTACGCAAGAGAAAACAAGGTGAATGAACGCCTGCGTCGCTTACTATGCACCATTCTTGAGGACTTATGCAGTCCAAGTGATATTTTTAATTCAGATTTGACGGATCATACACCAATGATGAAGATTTTTCCTTTTGAACAGCTTTTTGAAGATGATCCAGTAAAGGAACGAGAATTTGATATTTGGTGTTATTTATGTTATTTCGGAATCCCTCAGAAACAAGAACAAGCCTATCAAGTAGCAGATGAAACACAAAAAGCTATCTTGAAGAGAATAAAAAATGCTGAAGACGACGAATTCAACGCATTAAACCCTTCTTTTTCAATGATTGCAGAAGTAAACAATCTGCAACTTCAGCTTTTTGAACAAGATGACAATAAGAGGCTGCTCTTGGTAGATAAGCTTGGTCCAAACGCTAGCAACACGCTTAGAATTTTGCTTCGCAACAACGAGCCAAATTCTGAGCTTGAATACGATTTTTTGGCAGAATCACGATTTGAAAAATCGCATTTTAACCAGGAAATGCTGGCTAGACTATTTCAAAATTTTACGAAACTTGATTACGAGAATCTAGCACAAACCCGTTATCTTTTTCAGGGAGAACCTTTTGTATCCAATATCTATGAGATAGAATATCAAGATATGCAAAAAGTTATTGACGAAGTTTGCCGTATTTCCAAATCGACTCGGTTTCAATTTTTATCAAAGCCTTTCATCGGAACGAACCGAATTATTTGTGCTCTTTATGATCGCTTCAAAAATGAGGGTTGCCATCTTTCGATAGATGAGCTCAACGTTTTTGTCAACGTTATTCTTGAAACAGCTGAGGCCACAACTTATTTTGAGGGTTTGATTCTGTACCTTATTGTCATGAAAAAGCAACCAAAATGGTTTTTTGAGTGTTGCATATTAAAAATTGAAAACCAATTTCAAAGGACAATTTCTTCTGAAGATCTTGCTTCTTTGCTGCGCATTGCAAAAAGAAAAAAACTTTGGTCTCTCTGGCACCACCTAGATCAAAAAGAAAAACAAGAAATACATTTGGACGAAATATTCAAAAATATTCTTTCAGAAGATGACAGTTTCTACGTTCTTAGAAAAGCGAGAGAAATGGTTGAGCTACAATTTTGTCTGAACTTGACTAATTTAAAGAAAAGAGTTGACGATCCCGAGCTATATCGTAGTCTTATACGAGAAGGTGCTCATATCGATTTAGCATGTATCGACATGTTTTTTGAAATTTTGATCAACCATCTTCAAGAAAAACACTTTGATTTGAAGAATAAATGTTTGATAAAATATTCCACCGACAATGATTGGACAGTGGTTTATGAAATTCGGAAGGAAAGTGAAAGTGAAGAAGATACTTCCATTTTACTTTTACATTCAAAAAATAATATCCTACTTTCTCTAGATAGTAAAGGTGAAAAAATCAGCTCTCAAAACAATAGTTTTCATTGCTGGTTGGCTGTTCTGATTCACCATTTTCGTGCTTTGGAACCGGAATTTAGTTTTTTCAATTTAAAGAAAAAAATACTCAATCAGATTAAACCAGGCCTAACAATTAAAAGGTTAATAGATAAGTACCCGGATGATGTTATGTGGTTTGCCGGAACTCAAGCCCACACGTTTGTGAATGGCAAAAAAGTGCCATGCTCAATGTACATTTACAACTGGAAAGTAGATCAGTACCATGATTGGGATCCAAACTGGGAAAAAGAAAAAAAGAAAGATGAACTTATGAAAATTTGGACTGCTGTTAGAACCCGGTTGCAAAAAATGGTGAATGCTTATGCAAAGAATAAAATTCTTCCAAAGTACTTTAGTGATGAAGCTTCAGCAGAAGATGTGATGGAATCGATTCTTGAAGAAATTAATACAGATAAAGAGCAAACGGAAACGATTTCTTTAAGTAATGAACAATTCAAAGTGGCAGATAATATTTTTTTTTATGGGTCCTGGGTTCCAGTTGAATGGATAGCAAGGAATGTGAATATGGATGTGAAAATTAATGCCATACGTTCAGAAAAAATGTCTTTTACATTGAAAATAAATCTTGATAATCCATCATTTAAGCCGGACACCGGTCCATCACAGCCGCACATTAACTATAAATGTTCCTGCATTTCTCACACTGACATCATCGAAATTGAAGGACATCATCTTTTAGGTGAGAAGGATGTTAGAGATTATGGATTACCCGGAAGAAACGGAGGTCCACCCTGTGCAGAGATTCCAATAGGTCAACGTTATCTATTGCCAAATTGGTTGTGTGACGGCAAATCGAATCACCATCGAGGAAGGACAAACTCTTTTAATGGATAAGTGTCACAATCTAAGCAATGAATTTTCAAAAGAAAATTATGTAAGGAACGAATAGAAATTAAAATTTACTTCTTAATTATTGTATTGCCTTTGCTGAATTGATGGACTATTGTAAGCAAATTTTCCCAGAAGCTATTTTCTTTGTTTAACACCAAATTTTCCCAGATAAAAATTTTTCATTTAGCTAAAATTGTGCTGACGTGATTCGGATTTTTTGCGTATTTTTTAAAGGACTGTGTTCCATACCGTATTTTTCTCTCATCTCATCTTGCTTTGCTAAAAAATTAATGTGCATGTTTCCTTTGAATAAAGTATTCGTGTGAAAAAGTATGATGGCATTACGACAACAATAAGAAATTTTTTGATGAAGACACAGTTTAATGAATTTTTCAGGGACTTTTCTTTTCTTTAAGACTCTTAAAAGTTTTTCCACTACGATAATTGAAGCAATGGAAAAAAACAATAATTTATTTTCTAACCAAAATAGGCAGAAAATTTTGATAAGGTGAGTGGTGACCGCAAAAGGTGGTAACTTCTGAAAAGTATCGAATTGTAAATACCGCCGAATTGAAGGTTTTCCACTTCAAAGACCAACTAACCTCTAACTCGACGGTTCCTTTTTAATCTCGGGCTTTTGGTCTGTCTCTTTATCTCGATTTTCGATGCCTTCTTTCACATCGTTTTTCACTAAATCTTTCAAATTGTCAAAAAAAACCCTTGCGAACTCAATAATGTTAAAATATGAAACAATGCACTGCTTACTTAGCTTTGTCAACATTTCATGCAGAACATCAATCTTGGAGTTAACGGCTTCAAATTTCAAATCCAAGCTTTCTTTTAGCTCTCTAAGCTTCGTGATCTCCAGTTTTTCTCTTTTACTAGTGAGTACTGCCGTTTTGTCTCCGTTCCGATGATTATCGAGATAATCTTCGATTTTCTAAAATTTCCCAAAAATTTATTTATCAAATGAACATTTTTCTTTTTAAATTTTTTTTCCTAAGAAAAAGCCGAGTTCATCTTTAATTAGAGCACACCAACTTTTTCCCAATTCTCGTAGGACTTCCATTGCATGTTTGCACAAACGTAAAGTTGCTTGACAAAGCCATTTCGTTTCTCAAAGGCTTCCTCGGGAAATTTGAGCATGATGCTGAAAAATTGAATCATTAAATAAGGTAAAATAGTGGGTGGAAAGATTTCGAGAAAATTATTGTAGACTAGATGAATGACTCAAGTGTAGTAGCAAAAGCTTGTTTTCTTCGATGAAAAATCTCCCTTCGAACAAGTCATGTCTTTGCTATAAACATTAAAACTCACTTCGCCATTTCTTTGTAGTGCCTTGCCTTTAGCTTCGTTTTCCGGTTTCTATTCTTTTGTGGTTTAACACTTCCATCAGTGCCACGAACAGGCGATAAAACATTCTTCTTTCCGGTATTCGCCGCACCAGTTTTGTCCGCTTTCTTTGCCCAATTGAGCGCTCTTTGACTAGCTGCCTTCCGTTGAGTTACAACTTCTTGTATCAGCTCTCTCATAGTCTTCTGAAATTTAAAGCATAATCTAACAAGTCATTTGATTGAGTCAAATTTTGCAATATTAAAATAATTCAACATTTTGCAAATTCTAAAACCTCGAAATCCGGCTCGTCTTTAAGCAAATTGAGCAACTCTGTGAAGGAGGGATCATCTTTTTCTTGATCTGAAGAAGAGTTCTCCGCCATTGTATCTAAAACCAAGTGATTCTGGAACGCTTTGAAAAACGAAAGTAATATATAGCTGAGTGTGGAAAAATCAAGAATGAATTCTTCGACTTCGTCAATAATCTTATGCAAGATTTCAAAATCAAGAAAGAAGAATGGAAAGAGGGAAATCACAAAGAATCGATACGTTGAGGCATTCTTCGCTCGTGAATGTTCCTTTTTAACCACAAAAGCACAGTTGATAAGGGGAGCAAAAAAAGAAAAAGCTTAAGAAACGAAAAATAAAAAAGTGTCGATCTGTTGATCGAATGAGTTTCAGGAACGACTTTTCAAAAATTTCAATTAATCAGAAAATTTGCTTTGCTTCAACAATTCGTACCAAAACTTTTCCCAGAAGATTCACGTAACAAGCATGTTACAAGTGTTTGCAGTCAATCCAGACAACCAAAAACATTACAAAGACAAGGTAAACGTTTTAATCGATACAGGTTCAACGGAAAGTTTTATCAAAAGATTTAGCAGAAAATTTAAAATTGTCGAGCATAAATGCCAAAGTTTTAAACATTAAAACAGCCATTGGGGCTTTAAGCGTAATTAAAACGAAAACATTCAAAATTTTATTACGATAATCAAAAATTTTTAACAAACAATTACCTGACACCTTTAAGCTCGAAGTGATGGAGTTGCCGGAGCTTCCCAAAGCCAACACCGCACTCGGAGACGAACCTGAAATCAAAAACGTTAAAATTGACATAATTATTGGTCAAGACTTTTGTTGAAACATTATTCAACAAGAACCTTGGACAATTCATCACAGCGGTTTGGTGCGAATTGAAACAAAGCTAGGAAAAATTAAATGTGGAAAGCTAGATTTATGTTTAAACAAGAAGGTCAAGAACAGTACGAACATTTCCACAGCTACCGGTAACATAACCAAGGAAAATTTTTGGGACCTAGAAAGTATGGGCATCACTGAGTCTCCTAAAGCCGCAGCTTCAGAAAAGGAGCAACAAGAAGTTGTCACAAAATTCAAAGAAGAGGTCCAACTCGTTAATGGAAAAATTCATTCTCTATCCAAGTTCCCTTGGATAGAGAAAAATCCTAAAATTGATGATAATTTCAAGCTTGCGACAATACTTGCATATCTTCATCAAGCAACTTAAAGGAAAACCAGAACTATTGGTAAAATATAATGAAGAATTTCAAAAACAATTGGAACAAGGAATCCCAGAAGAAGCACCAAGAAAAATTGAAGGCCCAATCAGCTTTTATATATCACATCAAGCGGTAATAAAAGTAATAAAATATTTTCTTGGACTGGATTATCCAATAGGCCTAGAACGCAATTGCAGAGGACGCGCAACGTCCTGGGGGCGGGGGGGGGGTCTCGGGAAAATACAATCGCGCTGCGATAGCAGACCAATGAAAGCCCTGAAATCCTAAAGCTGAAGCCTCAAGCCTAAGCCATTTAAGGCCGCCTGCTGTAGTACCAATACTGAGAGCTTTAGGCTGAGGCTTTTGGTGGGCAATAAACCCAACCAATAAAAGAGTTATTTTGGTCTGGTCTCCCTTCGTTCCAAGATCTGAGCTAATAAAAGAACGGAAATCAATAGGGCTGAAATGTCTCAACTTCAGCAACCGCTTTGATTTAATAAAAGTACAGAAATCATTCGTCAGAGCTGAAATGTCTCAACTACTTATGCCACTTTGATCCAATAAAAGCACTAACATCAAATTGCAAGGATCCCCTACGCAGCCCAAACCCAAATAGCCGCCTTTTTTGGGGAGGGAGACCTGCCTACTTGACAGTCCCTTAAAATAATAATTGACAATTACTAACACTTAGTAACCAGCAATCTGATAGTCAGCGAAAGTACGCGGTATTAAAGGTATTTAGAGATCGTTTAGTATCGACTATAGATCTATAGACGTTTACTATTCATCGATCATAAGTGATCGAATGATCGACCATTGATCACTTACTTCATTAATTAATTGATGACAGTAAGTGACATTAAAGGAGCCTTGTACGACATATTTATTCGAGAATTATCCACCTTCTAGGGGCATCCGTCGAAACAGGCACCACACTGAAAACAAAATACACATTCTAATGATTCCAAATTTCAAACTTTCACGATAGAGCAAAAGGGAGCGCTGATTGGAAGGGTACAGCAAACTTGTTCATCAGAACATTGATCATCAGTGATGCAGGCATGAGTTGGGGGTTCACTTTGGGCACTCCCAAATCAATTTTGATGGTTACGAGTCGCTTTTTATCTTATAGTTAGATTAATTAATGTAATAGTTTATTCAAACTGAAATAAATTTACCAAAAATGCGATAAGGACCATTGAGAAGAAAAGGATGAAGAAAAGACCAAAGCCCATTTTGATTGTAAGATTTCAGAGTGATTTCTGCCGGTAATTTGATCTCACAAATTACAATATTTATACTCGATTTGAATGCATTTCGAAGTACATTCTTATTCATATGCATGTTCGCAAAACGCAGACTAAACAGAAAATATTTTTGTACAGTTATGAATGAATACTTCAAAATGAACTCAAATCGAGTACAAAAGTGAATTGCTAGGAGATCAAGGCAGAAGTCCCTCCGGAATCTTACAATTAAAATGCGCCTTGGTCTTTTCTTCGTTCTTTTCTTCTCATTGGTCCTTATTGGATTCCCGGTGAGTTTATTTCGAAATAAGTATTCATTTGTTATCTGATAGAATGCCCAAAGTGAAGCTCCACCCTGTCTCCGATGATGCATGTCCTGACGGACAAGTTTGTTGTCCCTTTGTAATCGGCCCTCCAACCCACCCAATCGGTGCCTGTTTTACGGATTGTCCCTAAAAGATGAATCAAACATTATCCAATAAATACAGGGTGCGGCAAAAGTTTCGACACTTTTTGTAAACGGGCAGTTTGACTTGGAAAAAACGCGATTTTTGAAAAACTAACACCGGATTATAAAAATTCAGATATTTTTACCCCCTAATATACTTTTTTTTACACAAAAATTGCCATCTAAACAACCTTTTGATGAGGATGTTTAAAGGTCGTTACAGCAGTTTTTTTTGCTGTTGAGATTTGGGTGCCCTTCGTAGAATAGCTTGAAAATCTTTCGTTTTTGAGATATAAAGTTTTTTTGTGGCTTGTTTTCAAGAAAAGACTCAGTTCTATCAAATGGTAACAGCAGTTTTTGGAAAAAATTTCATTCTGCAAAGTTTAAGTCAACTTTCGCAAAATTCTTCAGCGACCAGACCGGGATATAAAAAATTCTCGTCAAAAAGTTATTGAGAGTTGAAATCTTTTTATGAAAATGGCTATATTGGGGTGAAACTACCTAAATTTTTAGAATCCGGCGTTAGTTTTTTGAAGCCAAAAAAATTACTGCTTACAGAAAAAGTGTCAGAACTTTTGCCGCACCTTGTACATCATGTAAATATTACGTGTTTTCATTTCTTTCTTCTTTGTTACCCCCATTTCGAGGGAAAGCACTGAAATACTGTTATGTGGTTTGAATAGTGATTTAAAATAGTAGAAAGGTAACGGAGTTTTTTCTAACAGATATTTTTAATACCATTTGCTGTTTTGTTACCCCCTTGCGAGGGGTCTGAGCCGATCCCGCCGGTAAGTCGCTGTATGGGACGGGCTGTATGGCCTTAGTAACCCCATTTTCGGTAGAAAATCGGGTCACTAAATAAAGTCAAAAAGATTTGGGTCCTATGTAAGATGAAATCAAAATGGGACAGTGTGAATATGACTACGATACGGAACGACCAAATTGGAGACATATGTGTTTGGGACATGCGCCAGAAAGAGAGCGATTAGGGGGCGAAAGGGAGAACGCACCAAACGGCTGTGAGTGGTGAAAAGGGTTCGGAAAAGAAAGACGGGAAAAGGGTAACTCACAAGTTTGTTCCTCCAAAGAAAGGAAAAGAATGACACAAGAAGAACGTTAGATTGACTAGATCACCAAATACATAGTTAAAGAGATAAACACTTTTTTTCAAGAAGTTGCGGAAATCATTTTTGCTTTAAACAGACAGACTTTGATCGAAAAACGGAGAGAAATGAATGTTTATTAAGATAGATTTCAGCGAATTTTTATCAATAAGTTTTTTTGAGTTTTGGAAATGATTTGAAACGATGAAGCCTGGGATTTCTTAATGAATTAGCTTTTTATTGAAAACGTCCATGAAAATCATGATTGCTTGAAATAGTTTGTTTCACAGGAATTTTTAGTCAAAAAGCTGATTGTTACATAACTTTTCAATAGCAACAAATCATAAAAGAGCTTTTTGGAATCTGGTGATTGTTTGGGGAAATCTGGAAAAATTTAGCCATTTCATATGCATTGACCCCATACTAGTTTGGAAAGGCCTAACCTTTCAAGAAAGTTGTCGTTAGTAGGCATCGAACCAAAAAAAAGATTAATTTCAATATTTTCTTCTTATCACCAACACACAGCCTCTGAACATTTCCACGGGACGGTCCTCGTCTCCCCTCAACGATCGTCTCTTTCAAATTCGCGCGGTGAACCCAGGACTTCTTGGTCCCACAATCTGCATCGAAAGTGCAAGTCTGAGTTGAATTTTTTGCTTTTGGTCCGGTTTTTGGCAAATCAGTCAGTGGATCTTGACGCTGAAACGTTTGGTCACACAACTGATCTTTTCGACACTCGCTGCAGCTATTAGGTTGTCCAGTTATAAATGCGCGTTTTTAAGCTAACAACTCTTTATTTTAAAACCAACAGTTTAACAGCTCAATCAACAATATATTCACCATTTGTTAACAATATTTGTTTCCATCTTCCATGCAAAGAATGAATTCCCTCCGCGTAAAAATTGGCTTTTTTTGAGGCAAAGAAGTCGGCTATCCATTTTTCGAGTACTTCAACTTCTTTGAACTTGTTTCCGGCCAAATGGTTTCGCATTGAGCGAAATAAATGGTAATCCGAAGGAGAAATATCCGGAGAATATGGCGGATGCGGGAGAGTTTCCCAGCCCAACT